AAATAAAGAAACAACAACAAAAAACGAAGTTCTTTTACAAATCATACCACATTCATCATCAGTGTTTTAATAGGCTATTTACACAATTAAATTATCTTCTTGACGCGTATGGGCTTAACTTTCCGATGTAATACTGAGTGGTAAAAGCCCTTTCCGGTGTTTGTCCAGCCTCCTCTCTGCAGCACACAGTCGGGGAAGGTAAACTCCTCCTACATCACTATTAGCATGGGCAGGCTGAACATTGCTCCTCTGCACAGAACGCGTGGGAGGCGCGGTGCAGGGAGATGTCTAGAGTGATGACAGACTCTGGTATGACAAAAATATTTCTTCAATTGTTGATTTTTGAGGTGGTGAAAGGAAACTCCATTGCATTAATCTGTAGCATTCAGTGTACCCTAATTAGCTAGCTACCTAGCTAATGCTAGCGAGTGGTAGTGGTGGTTGTAGTAGTAGTTGTTTTTTTCAAAGAAGCTAACTTTAGCCAGATTAGCTTAGGACTCGTCCGGCAGAATAATGGTAGTTGTAAATCCTAGTAGTAACGTTAGTATTAAGGCTAACTGTTGCTGCCTCAAAACCAAGCAATTGTGAATGTTACCGCACGTACACAGTTGATTCACGAGTGACTACTAATGTAACATTAAGTCCCAGTGAAATAATGTTCATGGTGCTGTGACAATAAATGACACCTGTTGTGGTTGGTGTAACGTTAGCAGTATCGTGTTTTAATAACAGTGAATTGTGTCATTTATTGAAACAGTTTTGGCTTGCATCTTAGTCAGTTTACTGTTTCATTCTCAGGCTGTTTTCCGGACTTGGATGATCCTCTTAGCTAGCCTGCTAGCTTTAAATCAGTTGTTAGTCTGTAAACTTTCTCCGACCTCCTGTGAAAGAAAGGTGCTTATTGCCTGCTTTGCCTTCAGCTGCAAAATTATCCAAGTGTTTTATTAAGGCAAGAGAAACAATTTGTTAAATTTTTTTTTTTGCATATGTAGTTTTGCATTTAAGTATAAAAAGAAACCACAAAAAATGATTCCTCTGCAGTTTGTTACCCATAGATTTTGACCATAAAGGAAAGTTATGCAATGTTGAACTTTGTGCAGATGTAGTTTAAAAGCTATGACTTCGGAGAACAACTTGACCGCAGATGGAGAGGTGTTGGAGAGTGAACATGCAGTTAGTCAGACTTCATGCAACTCCTCCACAGAGAAAGTTCAGTTAAGTTCATTCATTTGTTAAGAATACTAAAGCATGTGCGGGAATCCCATGTAATAAAATAACGGAGCTACTCACACACACGACGCTCATATGGTCATGGCCTCATCTAGGTGCTGGTTGCAAAAAACAGGTGCAGTATTGGTTAGGGTTTAGTTAAACAGGCTAAATATTAAATGGGTGATTAAAAGTGAAAAAAGCAATGTCAGAAAACTCTGTGCCATACTTTTCGGTAGGACTAACATACTGTGGCATAACTGTCTTCAGTAGAGCATAAACTGCTGTCATTAGTGTATTTTATAACACCACAAGCTAGTGATTTTAATTTTTGATCTGACGCTATACTGTATGTATATGTTAATATCTTCTGATAATTTGTGCATTTAAATCAAGCCCCAAGATTTGTTTTAATTCATGTTTTGCAAGTTTACATTCATTTTACAATGAGAATCTCAATATTATACTGTACAGTGTTTTTTTCTTTCTTTTTTCTTTTTCCAGATACATTGTAGTTCACAGAGAAACACTGTAGGACTCTTGTATAGTCTTACGTTTTATTTTGCATTTTTTATATATTATGTACTATACTACAAGGTTATTACATAACCTTGTAGTATAGTACATTACTATACAAGGAGAATTTCATATGTTAACTTGGAAAACTCTAGAGTCAGTTTATCAGTTACATGTGGGGTTTTCTATGTGTGCACAAGGAGATTTTCACCTTCTCAAATGTAGCATGTCTGTGCACGCTTTCGCTTTCAAAAGCATTTCACAGTTTGCTGGCAATTTTCTCTGTCAAACAGAGGGCCATCTTCTTTTCCTGTTGACACAAATAACAAAGTCACTGGCTTTGAATTAAAATGTCAGTTGTTCCTTCTAGGAATCCTTCTAAATGGCACTTTAGCCTGACCTTGTCGTTAAGCATTTCTTCCATGTTCTCAGTTTGGTACACTGGGCATTTCCTTTTGTAAAAAATAAAAGATTCAGCAAAAAAATAGCCAACTGTGGTAATACTGATTAATACAATTGACATTTTTGGTTGTAATTGAGTCAGACTTTGGTGCTGCGTTGCACATTGGCCTAGCCCTGACAAAAAACATAAATTGTGCTATTGCATTAACAAAGCTTTGTCAGTTTAGTTCAAACATATTTTGACTTTCATTTGGATTGTTTGAAAAGGATTTTTTTATTCACCAGTCCCCTTTGTGTCATAGGTTTAATGCATCTCTGTTTTATATCCTTACAGCTGTGGCCTTGTTTAGAAAACTTGTACAATGTTGTTAGTATTAGTACTGATGAGGTCCACATCCAGTCAGTAACTGTCGGTGTATTTTGAGTCACGGGGTTCTTACATTGAATGCTGCACACAGACCAAGAAATGGATCATATATTGCTTTCAGTTAGTCAAGTAGCCTAGCAGACATGTAATAGAAAATAATAAATATATAAGTAAAAAATAAGTGTTGAAATTATTATTAGGTATTGAAATAGGTATTATGTTTGTTTTTTGGCCATTGAGCAGTGCTGTTGGTCAGGTGCATTGGTTAGCCTGCCTCAACCTTTCAAGTTTAATTTCCTGCTCAAAGAACATGTCTTTCCCTTTCAGAGGAGCTAGCTGTGCCTGCCAAGCTGCAGGAGACAAGGCCATGCTGTCTCATACTTGACACTGAGCCATTAAATCCAACTACTTGGGATGCAATAATTGTAACCAACTGCAAAAGACAGCCACAGTCCATTGGCCACCACAACTGAGCCCTGACCTGGCACTTTTATGATTGACATGTGTGTTACTGTGCATGTTTGTTTTTATTCTTAGTCATAATTGGCTTTAATTTATTCTGCATATCAGAAAAACTCATGGCTGGGTTCTTTCTAATTAGAGTGAGTTGTCTCGGGCTGTAAATGCCATTAAATATTAAGATAATGTTGATGGGTAGGTCTCCCAGCAGCCGGCAAGACACAGTTACACATTGTCTTAACTGGCAACATGCAAACATGATATTCATTTGTGATTCAAAGTGCAGGGAGTTGGAATGGTGCAGAACTGTGCTGTAAAACTGCCATTTACCTTTCATGCTTACCATTGTAAACGAGTAAACTAAACAAACACTTTCTTCATGTCATTTTGTTTGCTGCTCTTCCTGAACAGAGAGATCATCAGACAAAAAGGGAACTTTGGAATGGGAGAAAGTATCTAACAGTGGCACACAGAAGTCCAGAGTGTATTCCAGATCAGAGAGGTGAGGAATTTTTTTTCATTCACATGTGGGAGCTCGGAAAAACAAAATTCTTTCTACCATTATGTATTTTTAAATAGTGGTAGAACGAGCCTTAGAATATTCTACTGCTATAGTGGAAGTACTGTTCTTAAAGTTTCCCAGTGAAGTTTTATTGTAAACAAAGTTTACATTCAGTGTTCAGTGCATTTCTCTTCTTATTTAACATGTGCAACAAATTTTTTTATATCCACGTTTACTTGCTAGATGTCTTCTTCTTTCCTGCCTTTTACTGGTGCATTACCTCCACCTGTAGATCAGTAGAATAGTGTGAAACCAGTGGCAGAGAAATGTCAGGTCAAAAACTTCACAGGGTACCTTTTTGATATCACTCAAGGAAAGGTATTAAAGTGGCCATTTTGAAGCGAAATTACGCTGAGGGAAGCCTACAACATAAACTCTGTAGTTAGGTTGTATAGTTTGAGTGCATAAAAATCTAAATTGCAGTGATTTAAGTACTTTGTTGCTTAAACAGTATTAGAACAGTACTGTGTATGTGCCTGGTTGCAGCTATGTGATCAGTGTTTACTTTATATAAAGCTGTTAAGGTATAAAAATGCAAATTTGTTGATTTGTTTAACCCGGAAGCCACGCTACAGTTAGTTACAGTATATTCCTGGAATCTTACAGGGGGCCAGGGATATTACATTTCTTCCTCTCACCTCAGCCGCATTAGACTTTTTAGTCTGGAGCAGACTGTTGTCTCTGTTAAGCCATGATTTTATTTCTAGCTTTTTGAAGAGTTATAGCTTGATGCAGTTAGGCTTGAGTATCCTGAATGTGAACTGGCAACTGTGCATAGGTGCTTCTAGGCAAAATCTAAACAACCAAACGCACAATTTGTGATAAGATATTCCCACTGAAATCACACCAGTGTGACAAAATGCCCCCGTTTCTATCTTGATCTGTCTCCACTCACCCCCACGCCTATCTGTTATTTCTTCTCTCCCTGTGTTAAGTCAGGGCATCTTCAGTCGAGAAGACCGGGATGACCTGGTGCGCTCCTCCAGCCACACCCCAGCTAACAAAGCCCAGATACTGGCCATGCCACAGTTCGGCCTGCGCGACAACCTTATCAAGTGTGAGCTGCTAAAGAATGACAATCTTTACACTTACCTGGAGGACTTCAGGTAATTTACTCTTCAATGCTTGTCGTGTCAGTTCTGACTCTGTCTTAAAAAGGTACATGCATTTGGCAGATTGGTGCAGGCAGTTTGAGGTACAACTTGGTGATCTTGATGCAATTGAAAATTACTTCACTTTCACCACAGAAAATGTAACATTTTTTACTTACTTGATATCAGTAATGTGCTGATGCTTTGGTTGGGGCTATAGGTTATTTCATATACTAGTGTAGAGGTGTGTGATATGGTCTTTTGCTGTTAATTTTGAAACAGTTAAGAAAAGTGTATAGCTTAATGTATAGGAGCATTTAGACCAAGGAATGCCACATTTAACCTATACCATAATATTACGATACCCAAACTCTTTGTAAGACTCTTATTACTACATTACAGTGATTTTGATTTCCAACTCTTATGTGGAAAACTGTAAGCTTAAGCTTAAAAAAGGTTTGAGAGGTGAGTCGGGATATTTTCATACTATTCAGTTGTGTTAAGCTCAGTGTGGATACTTGAAGTCTTATGTAAAAAGAATGAGTCAGCATCTGTAGGTTTGTATTTCTCTTTGCTAAATTAAGCAACGCTGTTTCAGACGCTGTCAAGAAATGCACCAGCCTAGGGCATTAACATACTGTAGCTCTTTATCTATTATTATTTATTGTAAAAATGAATGTCCCTGTAGAGGCCTGGATATAAGTGTTTTTGGTTGAAAAATAAGCATTTGCAGAAGTCATCATTGTGGTTTGGCTAATAACCACAGTGCCTCCTGCTGGTAGATCTGTGTCTTAATATGTACACCCGTATAAAAAAATAATGCAAAGAATGAAAAATAATATAGATATAATAGGAATGGAAGAAGATCTCTTACAGTGTGTCAGATTTAGGGGCATCTTTACTATGGCATACAACATAGTATTTATAGGTAGATTGTGAAAACGCATGAAAAGAAGAATTATTGCTTTTTCGTTACCAAAGAATGAGCCCTTTATATCTACAGAGGGAGCGGTCCTCTTTTTTGCAAGTTTAGCGACCACCATAGGTTCTCCTGTATGCTTGGAACGGGTTGGTGAGGGTAAGGGTTATCACTTGGCTGCAGTCTAGCTAGAAGCCACGAAATCCTCCACACTGGACATTTTTAAGTTTGAAATACAATGGCAATTGACAAACCATAGTCTCAGTGGATGGGACTATTTCCTCACACCAAAAAGGACCCCTGTTATAGTCCAATTTCAATGCCTTTCTGTGTGGAACTTGCATTTTGGTGCATGTTTCCCCTCGGTGCTCTGAATGTGCTGATTGGCTTATAAGCTTGAATTGTTGCCTTTGTCAGAAACAACACATATACGGAAAAGGCTGCATTTTGTTGCGACACGTGTACATTGCCTTCTTTCATCTCATGTTACAGTACATACTGAGAGCAGTCCAAGATTTTTGTATAAATCCAGCTTCAGCATCTTTCTTGTTAGCTGAGGGTGGGGCCATTAGGGCAGAAAGTGTTGTACAGTGCGTTTGCAGTCAGCACAAAAATAAAGAGCTCTGTGCTGCTCCTGTGCAGCAACGTGAGCAGGGCAGCAGCTGCCTGAAGGTCAGAGGAGGGGGCTATTGAATGGAAGGAAGCTGATTTTCAGTCTGGACCTGCAGAATAAATCTCAGTGGGGACGTTAAAGACGAGGGCTTGGCCCTCTTACCATTTCTCACAATTGTTTCACCCTCTAGCATGGCACTTAAGTTCCAGTGGAGTTGCTCACTGGACAAGACTCAGTGCTCAGTGGATAAGAGTTTTTATTTTCTGCTGTCTCTTTGCAATGCATACAGCTCATATGTGTAACTATGTATAAGGACCAGGTTACACTTGATCATAACTAACATAAATCTTAAAACGTACCAACCATTTCAGAAATCTTTACAGTACAGTTGTGTAACAGTCTGAGTTGAGTGGGCAGGTGGGCTTTTTTACAGTTATTTTGCTGATGAAATACTGCACAGAATAAGTAATGAGGAGGAGTCAAATACTGAGTACAGTGGACAGCTTCCTCAGCACCTTGACAACAGCTGTGACACTCTAAAAAACTGTTTAAAATGTATTTACTCAATACACTGAAATCGATAATCTGTGTCCAGTGTTCTAAAGTGGTCTGTTAAATTTTGTTGTGCTTTTGAAATTATTTAGTATCCTTACTATGAAAGACATTAAAATTTATGGTGTTTGCGTTACAATGCAGTGTGAGGAAAGGGGGTCTGAAGCTATGTGACCATCCAACGAGCAGTTCTGAAGAGTCTGAAAAGACAAGTTTTGCTAGAGACCCTCACAGTGAGCAGGATAAACTAAGAATAGTTAGCACATGGGGCGACTAGATAGCTGAGTGGTTAGGACTCACGGACTATTTGCTGCATGTCATTCCCCTATTCTCTTTCCCCACATACCCTGTCCATTCCCTTCAGTATCACTATAATTAGCACTTGTTCAAACAAACTGATACAGTCCTCTCCTTTGTCCCACTTCTCACCTCTACCTATTCTGTTTCAGCTTTTTTCTTGGCACATACAATGTGAATGGGCAAACCCCAAAGGAAAGCCTCCATCCTTGGCTGAGCTGCACTCTCAACCCTCCTGACATCTACTGCGTGGGGTAAGTCACATTCACCCGTCTGGAGAATAGCTTTGCAATTCTACTCGTAATCCCATTACATAGACAGACAAATACTGCTCCAACCTCTGACTGATGTATGCAACCATTGACGCTATTTTAAGTAGGAGAACATCCCACCCACATTTTCAGCACTATTTGTCCACTAATCCTGCCTACATTTCATTTACAGTGGGTACGGAAAGTATTCAGACCCCTTTAAATTTTTCACTCTTTGTTTCATTGCAGCCATTTTCCAAAAATCAAAAAAGTTCATTTTATTTCTCAGTAATGTACACTCAGCACCCCATCTTGACTGAAAAAAAAACAGAAATGTAGAAATTTTTGCAAATTTATTAAAAAAGAAAAACTGAAATATCACATGGTCATAAGTATTCAGACCCTTTGCTCAGTATTTAGTAGAAGCACCCTTTTGATCTAATACAGCCATGAGTCGTTTTGGGAAAGATGCAACAAGTTTTTCACATCTGGATTTGGGTATCCTCTGCCATTCCTCCTTGCAGATCCTCTCCAGTTCTGTCAGGTTGGATGGTAAACGTTGGTGGACAGCCATTTTCAGGTCTCTCCAGAGATGCTCAATTGGGTTTAAGTCAGGGCTCTGGCTGGGCCATTCAAGAACAGCCACGGAGTTGTTGTGAAGCCACTCCTTCGTTATTTTAGCGGTGTGCTTAGGGTCATTGTCTTGTTGGAAGGTAAACCTTCGGCCCAGTCTGAGGTCCAGAGCACTCTGGAAAAGGTTTTCGTCCAGGATATCCCTGTACTTGGCCGCATTCATCTTTCCCTCGATTGCAACCAGTCGTCCTGTCCCTGCAGCTGAAAAACACCCCACAGCATGATGCTGCCACCACCATGCTTCAGTGTTGAGACTGTACTGGACAGGTGATGAGCAGTGCCTGGTTTTCTCCACACATACCGCTTAGAATTAAGGCCAAAAAGTTCTATCTTGGTCTCATCAGACCAGAGGATCTTATTTATCACCATCTTGGAGTCCTTCAGGTGTTTTTTAGCAAACTCCATGCGGGCTTTCATGTGTCTTGAACTGAGGAGAGGCTTCCGTCGGGCCACTCTGCCATAAAGCCCCGACTGGTGGATTGCTGCAGTGATGGTTGACTTACTACAACTTTCTCCCATCTCCCTGCATCTCTGGAGCTCAGCCACAGTGACCTTTGGGTTCTTCTTTACCTCTCTCACCAAGGCTCTTCTCCCACGATAGCTCAGTTTGGCCGGACGGCCAGCTCTAGGAAGGGTTCTGGTCGTCCCAAATGTCTTCCATTTGAGGATTATGGAGGCCACTGTGCTCTTAGGAACCTTAAGTGCAGCAGAAATTTTTTTGTAACCTTGGCCAGATCTGTGCCTTGCCACAATTCTGTCTCTGAGCTCTTCAGGCAGTTCCTTTGACCTCATGATTCTCATTTGCTCTGACATGCACTGTGAGCTGTAAGGTCTTATATAGACAGGTGTGTGGCTTTCCTAATCAAGTCCAATCAGTATAATCAAACACAGCTGGACTCAAATGAAGGTGTAGAACCATCTCAAGGATGATCAGAAGAAATAGACAGCACCTGAGTTAAATATGAGTGTCACAGCAAAGGGTCTGAATACTTATGACCATGTGATATTTCAGTTTTTCTTTTTTAATAAATTTGCAAAAATTTCTACATTTCTGTTTTTTTCTGTCAAGATGGGGTGCTGAGTGTACATTACTGAGAAATAAAATGAACTTTTTTGATTTTTGGAAAATGGCTGCAATGAAACAAAGAGTGAAGAATTTAAAGGGGTCTGAATACTTTCCGTACCCACTGTAACTGCTTTGGTGCTGAGGATACCATGAAAGTACCCGGTAAAGATGAAATATACGAATCAAAGCAAAGTAAATTTTACCGTTTGTCCTTCCTGACAGTTTTCAGGAGCTTGATCTCAGCAAAGAGGCTTTTTTCTTCAATGACACCCCCAAAGAGCTGGAGTGGACGAAGGCTGTATCCGAGGCCTTGCATCCAGATGCGAAGTATGCCTTAGTAAGGAAGTCTTTTTCTTTTCTTTAATCTTGACCTTGTTTTAATATTGTTAATTAAGTTCTGACAAGCGTTACATGGTGAAATATTAACTTTGATTTTGTTTTAAGTAGGGCTATAGCGAATAGTTTGAAGCTTCATTTTTGCATGTCTATTCATTTGGTTTAAACCCAGTATTTCTGCACTGTTGCTGATAAAAATTACGTGTTATATTGTTTGTAAAATTAGATTCTAGTGGTGGCTGCATGGAATTGTTTCTCAAATTCACTGCTTTGTTCTTGCTAACGCAGCTCCCTCTCTTCATTCACTCTGTAGCTCGTTCAACCACTGCTGCTCTCTCTCTGTATCTCAGGGTCCAACTTTGAATCGTGTGTTCACAAACAGCATCCAACAAATCCTACTCATGCCTTTGTTAACAAAAAAGACAAACTCATTTAATCAGGTGAATCACTTTTTATAGTGTCATAAAACATGACGACAGACATTCGTAATCTCATTTGAAAACCTCAGTAGAAGCTTTGAATGTAAAAAAACAAAAACAAATTTGGTACATGCCTAGTTTACAGTGTATTACAGTGCTACAGTGAAGTGGCAGATACCTCATGCAAATGCCTGTGATCAAAGTAATTGTCTACATAACAATATACCATCACCATTACATTGATTATTACACAGGATATTCCTAAGGAACGGTTATGATATCCTTGCTTATTTGATGAGCTTAGTCAGGCTTTATATTTTTGTCTTTCTCTTTGTCTTTCCCTTATTCGCTTTCATCTACTTCCCTTTTCTTAGCATGCTGACTCTAACATATTGGCTTCCTCTTTTTCTTGGCTTCACTGTTCATCTTTGCTGTAAGACACGCAGCCAGTCCGGTGATGTGTCATTTCTTCATCCACTTATCTGTCACTGACACTATAAAGTGTCAAACAAGCTTCAGATCTGAATGTGGCATTTTGTAGGATTGACAGCAAGGCTTATATAACTGTTTTGCTTCCTCCCATGCACAGCTGCTTCATATTCCATTTTCTTTGAGACAGAGGGTGAGACTAGGGCGTACTCACACTTTGGCGTGCCCGAGCCCGGTACGTTAAACTGTGCCCAGGCACACTTGAAGAGGTGGGCTCCGGCATGTCACGGCATCTAGTATGATCACTAACCGTACCCGAGCACTTAACTTGGACGTGAGCTCCATGGTGCCTTGCGAGAGAGTTTTTATTTATTTTTTTCAAAAGTGTGATAACGTATGTGGAATGTTAGTACAGGCCAGTGGGCAAGTGGGGAGGGGGGGACAATCGTGCTCGGGCACAGTACAATGCAGCCGGGCCTAGTGTGAGTATACCTTAAATGTCTTCAACTGTAAATATTGTTCCAAGTAGATGTGGTTGAAAACAATTAAGATGCTGTTAAGAGCACCTTTAAGCATGCTTCATGTGGCTACAGTGTCACTTGAACTCCACTGACTTCCTATTAAATACCAATATCCAGCAAATGTGCATATTACATTACTGTGATTGTTTTTTTTTTTTTTATCTTTTCAATTTTCCATTTGAAATGACGTGTGAATCTTACATGTTCTGCTACAGGTGAAGTTGGTTCGTCTGGTGGGCATCATGCTGATCTTCTATGTGAAGAAGGAGCATGCAGAGTTCATCTCTGATGTGGAGGCTGAGACTGTGGGCACTGGCATCATGGGAAGGATGGTATGTACTGATTCTACATGTCCTATTTTATTGTGCACTGGTCCTCATGTAGGTTTTATTTAATTTATTTATATAGCTTATTATCTGTATATCTGTTGTTGCGTAAAGATATTACTTTCTAAACGGCGGTGCACTGTTGAGAGCAGCTGTGATCAGAACCCATGCTTAAAGCAAGCTGCCCTTTGTATGTCCACAGGACAGGTACATAAGAAAAAAACACTCCATCCTTTTGCTCACACACCAAATCAAATGTGAATCTACTGCCCTCCTGATGATGGTGATTTATTTTATTTTTTTTTCCCATTCCAGTCCAGTTTTTTGATTCACTGTCCTTGATCGTGCTTTTTCAGTTATAAAATGTATTTCATCCTTGCAAAGCTTCAAACCAGCTTCCAGGCCTCAGGTGCCAAAAATATCTGAAATGATATTTACCGTACTTAACTTCAAAAAATAATAATAGTCCCAAATAGCTGCCTACCCTGTTTACTGGCCTGGTGTGGGAACACATTTTGACAAATAAACGCAGGTCTCCATTAAATGCCTGGTCTGTTTTTTTGTTTTTTGGGGGATTTATAAAACCTCTCAAACCCCTCCGGGTCGCCCGCTTTAGTTGCTTCTAAGCTGCTTATATCGTTAATACAAATATTAATGTTTAAACGTATGATCAATATGTCAGTATGGACATGCTACACATCGTTAGATGGTTAGATTCTCCACAATTCAATCGATCAGGTCATTTAACGGAAACAACAAGCCCCAAACTGTAATTCTTATAGATTTACCAGTGTAACCGGCATGGTACAAGAGATGAAAAGAAAAAGAAAAGTGGCGACTCCGTTACCTTTGAAGTGCTCATTAAGTCCACTCGTTAAGTCGAATGTGTCCATTCCTTGATTATTTATATTCCTTTAGTCTGTAAGGGTCTGTCTGCTAACCTCTGCCACACTTCTCTGATTCTACACTGTGTTGTTTTAGTTACATTGCTGCCTTCAAAATAAAAGCCCATAAGCTGTCTGTCGGAGCTAGATCAAAGTAATGACGCTGTGTCCAGTGGCTCCAACTTCACTCCTTGTGCACTGTTGCAGAATAGGTTATTCTTGTCTCATATGCGGCCATGCTTACTTAGCAGTCCTGCAGTGTCGAGCAGATGGCTGGCAGGTGATCAGTGGGGGCCTTTGTAAGGCTGTTCCATGTTTTCCTGCACTAATGAGAAACTGGTTTATGATCTCCACCAAGAACCATCTGAAACAGTCAAGTATCAAACTGTTTGCATAATATCGGAAAATGTCAAGATATATAAATAAACTACATGTTATCGAAAACATGTTTTTCTCAAAATCTTTTTGCAAAACCTTTTGTTTCCCTCTCTCTTTCAATTGCTCACTGATTTGCAGGGAAACAAGGGTGCTGTGGCAATCCGGTTTCGCTTCCACAACTCTGATATCTGCGTGGTCAACTCTCACCTAGCTGCCCACATTGAAGAATATGAGAGACGTAATCAAGACTACAAGGACATTTGCAGTCGTCTCCAGTTTCGCCAACTTGACTCTACCCAGCCTCCACTCACTATCATGAAGCACGAGTATGAAACCAATTAAATATTAGTTACATTGTCATCATATTGGCATGTGGCGTTTTTTGCTTTAAATCCAGATATGTTCTGATTTATGTTATGTTGTAGTAGCTGAATAAGATATTGCAAATTCTTATCCTGTATGCAACTGTGACAATATTTGATCCACATTTATCTCCATGTGTCTTCCTCCATTTCTCTGTGCTTCCTTCACCAGTGTAATTTTATGGATTGGGGACCTAAACTACAGGATCACTGACCTTGAAGTTGACAATGTGAAGGAGCTAATCAGCAAGAAGGACTTTGAAACGCTGCACAATTATGATCAGGTAATATCAGTGATGGTCTCCTCTTTCTGCTGTTGAAATAGTCCTTACTCAACATTCGTGTTTAAAAGTGGTGATACTTACCGGCTGCATATGGTCCTTAGCTCAAGAGGCAGATCGATGAGGAGGCTGTGTTTGTTGGCTTTGTGGAGGGAGAGATTGATTTCCAGCCCACATACAAATATGACACTGGCTCTGACAAGTGGGATACAAGGTAATATATGAAGCTTGACTGCAAATAGCAGGATGGAATATTTTTATTAAGGAGCTCGTTCTTCAGTGATAGCGTTGTTGTTTATAGTTAAAGTAAGGATAATTGCAGAAAGAAATGTGAAGTAATCCAACTAATGAAACTACACATGCTATTATGCTGTTGTTGTATTTTTTGCAACACACGCACACATTCAACTTATCCCAGAACAGACACTACATTCCAGCTACCCTATTGTTTGTTTATAGAAGTTTTCTAGTCTACAAACAAAATGAATTAATGCCATTAGTTAATGCCATTTTAGAAAGAGCTGCTCAGTATTCTGCTCTTTCAAGCATGCTAGAGAATTTCCCAATGGAAAAAATAATTAACTTTGATAAAGTGTATATACAAAAATACTGTAATACAGATGTAATTTTTGTCTTATGCATTTTAATACTTTGTATAGGACAAGGTCAAGGTATACTAAACATACTTCAGAATGAACATCTGTTCTTTCTTCTGCATTTAGTGAAAAATGCCGTGTGCCTGCGTGGTGTGACCGTATCCTATGGAGAGGGAAGAACATCAAGCAGCAGCATTATCAGAGTCACATGGCTCTGAAGACCAGTGACCACAAACCAGTCAGTTCCCTGCTTGTCACTGGGGTAAAGTATTCAGCCCTCTAACTAATTTCATCTTGAATTTCTTTCATTTAGTTTCTTGTTTTGGGCGAAAAAAGTCACAGTGGTCCTCCTTGTGAAGTTCCTTTCTTTTGAAAAATAGTGGAGGGGAGAAGAGATAAGTCAATGAAAAGTGCACTGAGATTGGACTTATCTGCTCACTGCACTCCAACAGGCTCCTATCACATATGTATTGCAGTATTATGTAAGGGAAATATAACACCGATGTCTATGCTGCATTGTCTCCTACAGATCAAGAGAGTAAATACTGAGGCCTATAAGAAGACCTTTGAAGAGATAGTACGCAACATAGACAAAATGGAGAATGAGTGTATTCCATCTGTAACCTTGGCCAAGAGAGAGGTAAAGTTTCCCATCATAATCAGTTCTATTACAGTGTAATGGGAGCTGTAATGCTTCTCTGATACACATTGTACAATAAATTATGTTCCTTTTAATAAATTCAGTAAGTTAACCACCACTAATGAAGCAGTGTATTGATCTCGGGCTGTGAGCCTAATGCACACATTTAAAGGATACATTTACATGAAATAGAGTAGAGTCTTTCCATCTTGCTTCATGAAGCCTTCCCTCTTGTTCTTTTAGTTCCACTTTCAGGATGTGAAATTCATGCAGCACCAGGCGGAGACATTGAGCATCATCAATGACGGGCAGGTCCCGTGTCAGTTTGAGTTTATCCAGAAGCCGAATGAGCCCACGTACTGCAAGCCCTGGCTCACAGCCAACCCCCCCAAAGGCTTTATCGCTCAGGGTGAGTAGCACATACAGTCTCATAGAGTTTCATCCAGGAGTAACATCATTGTCCTGCCTTTAGATTTAGAAATTGTATAAGTACACCATGAGCTTTGAGGCAGCTTTGATTTTGACTCACAATGGCAGGCTTTCTGTTGTACAAGATGAAAATAGATCAGGGGTGGTGCTTGGTGCTTTGCAAATCCTCATACGCTATTACCTAAATAAGTGACCTTAGCGCAACATAACTCATAACACAACTGATGCAGCAGGCATCAGTTCCTGAATTATGACAGTTCAGCCCCTTACTTTGTATGTGCGTCTCTCTCAACATCTAGGTGCTTCTGTAGACATTGATCTTGAGGTTTTTGTAAACCGCTCAACGGCGCCTGAACTTAACTCGGGCAAGGAGCAGATTGAAGACATCCTGGTGCTCCACCTGGAGCGTGGCAAGGACTACTTCATTTCTGTGACAGGAAACTACCTCCCCAGCTGCTACGGCACCTCCATCCATTCATTGTGTCAGCTGAGGGAGCCCATTAGGGACATGCCCCAAGGGACCCTACGTGAATTGGTTAGTGATCCCATGTGCAGATCGGGGACAGTGTCCTTGAAATACCTCTTCTCCAGTCAGGGTTGTGTCACAGGCCACAGCATGGTAGTTTGTTTATTTTTAATTTATATAGCTTTGCAGATTTGAAGATAAACACAGAATCCATTTTGAATGAACTGCTTCTCTTTGCTCTGGTTGTTCTCAACATCAGGCGGAGAAGTCTGGAGATGAGAATGCAGCAAAGAGTGAAAAGCCCCTAGACATTCCTAAAGAACTGTGGATGATGGTGGATCACTTGTTCCGCAATGCAATCAAACAGGTCAGAAGATGTGTTGCTGAAGCTTCTATGTTAGTGGTCAAAAAACACTGTACTCCTTTTTAGGTATTTTCACATTTGCAGGTTTGTATAATTAAAGTGAATTATGTAACTCTTGGCCTCCTTCCAACCTATTTGTCTTTTCTTATAAATTGAAGTTGCTGCATGCACATGAGAATTAAGCACAATAATAAAGTCAATATTTTAAAGACTAGGCTACAAAGACACTGGTATGACTGTAGTTTTGCCTGCCAGCCAAGAAGCTTTGTAGAGTCTCTGCATTCATTTGGTGAAGGGAATTCTTTACTGTTAAAAGCCTTGATTCAGGCAGTTTAAACACAGCATTCGCTTTTAATTTTAATTAAGTCAAAGTCCATTGTAGCTCCACCATGCCTCAAACCGTCTTCAGCCCAAGTGAATTTTGCTCCTTGCCTTGCTTTTTAAGGACACAAATATTTAATATTTAATGTCCTCTATTTACAGGAAGACATATTTCAGCAACCTGGGCTTCGGAGTGAATTTGCAGAAATAAGGGATTGCCTTGACACTGGCATGCCGGATTCTCTTCGTATCCTTCAAAACAGTTGCCATCATAGCCATAGTGTTCATCTTTATAGAAGTTATGAAGTGAAGTACATAGATATTAAATGTTGTGTTGACATTATAATGAACCCTTGGATTGCAATCGTGTATTTGATTCTCATTTTGCACCTACTACATTTCAATACATGCATCTCTGAACAAGAGTGATGTCCTTGACTCTGTATTGACTTGCAGCTGGTAGTAACCACTCAGTAGCAGAAGCCTTACTTCTGTTTCTAGATGCCCTCCCAGAGCCTGTGGTTCCCTTCTCCTTTTACCAGCAGTGCCTAGAAAGCTGCTCCAACGCCAGTCAGTGTGAGAAAGTGAGTGAGACTGGCTGCAGTTAATCACTGATCACTAATAATCTATTCCAAGATGTGTTCAAATCATAAAGTTAATCTCTGGCTTTTTTGATACAAAAATGTATTTTGTCTGCAGGTTATTTCCATGCTACCTCAGTGCCATCAAAATGTGTTCAACTATTTAGCTGCTTTTCTCCGAGAGCTTTTGAAGAATTCTGCTAGCAATCGATTAGATGTCAACATTTTGGGTAAGAAAAGAGAGCAGGTTGCACAGTCTCTTTCATTTGTGAATGTGTCATTATTAGCTATTGATTAGTCAACATGTTGGGTAAATGAAGAGAAACTAATGAATAAAGCAAAATGGAAAGTGAAAGTCCTGTTTATTCTGTTCTGTTTATAACTCAAGGACTATTTCAACTTACTTTCTGTTCAACTTACTCTGTGCAAAACAGGCAGTTTCTGTAAAAGATAATGTGTGCTCACCCAACCTACCCTGTATAAATAAAGGCAAAGGGAATTGTACTACCATCTAAATATGATAATTATTTAAAATCCTTCTATTTCCTTAAATTTCTTCTCATGTTCTCTGTCACATTCGTCTAACCTCTGCTAATTAAGATAGTACATTACAACTAAGAAAAGGAACATGCTATTTATTATTCAATATGAACAATTTGTTTTCCTTCTTCATAGCAACTATTTTTGCCTCCTTGCTCCTGAAGTCACCCATGAAGCAGGATCTTGCAGAAAAGAGGAAGACTCAAGAGTTTTTTCAGCACTTCCTGACCCAAGGGTCCTCCTAGATGGAGGACTTGTCCCTCTTGTCCTTCATGCTGAAGCTGAACACTAAACACTGTACAGTCCAGTATTTGAAATAAACTGTAATTATTTCTTATATTCTTAGATGGCTCTTTGTATAGATATAGTATAATTACTGAAAATGACATCTCTTATCTGATTTTTGATCTGTTGATGCACAGAGTTTATTGTATATCATTGAGCCTC